GCCTTTAACCATCTCATTAAGCAAGAGTTTATTTGGTTTCCACTCTTAGGAGTTACTATGAGTTAATAATTGAGGTTGCTCTATCATAATTGTGATAGGGGAATAGGGTACAGATTCTTGTAGGTCTCTGTTGAACAAGCTCGTGGATGCATGCTTTAAGAGAGATTATAGTTCAGTTCCTTCACTGTCCCTACTTCACTGCCTCTGGGTTTGTGTTATATTAACCATGCTTTTGTTTTTACTGTCTTTCATGTGCTTAAAAATGTTACTGTTGATTTTTTTCTGCATGAATTAGGATTTTTGATAAAATAAGAAATACTGGTCTTCAGAAAAAAAATTTCAAAATTTGTGCAGATATTCACATATATGAATTTTTCAGGTAATTTTTTAATAGATATTTGTGTCTTACTTTGCCCACACATAGAATCATTTGACCTATAGTTGTCAGCGTAATATTTTTTTGATTTTTATCTTGTGCTCATTATAGTTCTTTTATATGTGTGTTTTTAACATTTGTGAAAATGCGTCACTGTGGGTTTAATATGTTGTTATGTTTACAATGTCCAATCCATTTGATTGTGTGATACATATTTATATGGAAATTTTTATATTTTTATCTAGGGAGATGATCTGTGGTACAGTATCTTATTCTATTAATTTCTTCTTGAAACTTAATTTTCTAACATACATTTTGATGTTCAATGCAAGTGAAGATCATTTTGTGTGTTCCATTTTAAATCTATTCCTATTCTGTTGTTGTTTCTTGTATTTTTTCTGTTTCAGTTCATACACTTTTAGGATTTTTGTCCAAGATTTAATTGCAATGCATTTGGTTGATTTTTTAAAAATGTCATTGATACATTTAATAATTTCTTCTCTATTGTCATTTATAATCTGCATGGATATTGAGCACTGAAATGTTTTGTTATCTCTGGAATAATTTTCATTTTTAATCTCATTTTTTTCTACACTTTTCTGAAGTTGGTAGATTTGTTATTTTCCAATAAGGGCATGCATTGTTCTTAATTTCATTTGAAACTCTAATTTCTGGTTCTCAGAAACAATTACAAGATACACATTCACTTTCATGTGTTATGAAATCCTTAATATTCAATCCTCCTTTTCACTTGAAATGTGTCATTTAAACTTGCAATTTAATGTTACATTCTTAAAATTATTCTAAATGTATTTCCGTGATTGCTAATTTTATTCTAATATTGTGCAAGATTTTGCTTTGAATGACTTCAGATACTTTTCAGACATAATGTTCTTTACTGTTTTCTGAGAACAGTCTATGAGGGTGAATTTATTTTGTGATTTGGAGAAGACTGTACCATGCCACTGTGTGCTAAACACTGCAATATCCTGTAAATTCCTTTGAAATGTGGTGATGTTTAATTTGTGACTACACAAATTTTTCTGTCTTCCTCAGCCTGTGGTTACTGACAGAATTGTTTTGAAGTCTTCTGGTATAGTTGTAAACAAATGATTTTTTGTTTCACATCCTTGTTTTTGCCTTAATAAGTAGATGCTCTGTTGAGAGGAATATGTACTAGTAACTGTTTGTTCTTTAGAGAATTCCCTTTCATATCATCATCTGATCACTCTCAGCCTTACTTATTTTGAGGTACAAATTGAATATTATCAATGTAATATTCTTTCAGAAAATTTTATTGACTCAGTGCTGGTCTAGTGTGTCTTTTTGCATAGCTTCCTATTTAGTCAGTTCTCATCAATGTGCATATTACTAATTCTGTCCAGGTAGTGATAGGATTTCCACCATACCCAAGACATCCAGACACTGATCAGCTCTGATGCCTCTTCTCTCTCTTTCTGATGGTCTGACCTAGTCCCCTGATGGCCACCGTAGAGTTTGATCATGGCTTGCTGGGAATTTGTAGGACTCAAAATTTGCAACTTTGCTCGCTTATTGATGCCACATCTGTGAAATATGCCTCATGTTTGAAGGCACGTAAACAGATGTAGATGCACGTGAACTTTGTTATTGGTTATTTACTTCAAAAACATTTTATAACAGTTTCTTTCTTAAAAAATTGTGGTGAGGTTTAATAAGAATAATACTATAAATGTTCTGCTTGTATTCAGAATATTTCATTGAGCCTTAGACAATGGATGAAAGCATTCAGATGATGAACAGACTACCTGATTCAAACCTTTCTACCATTATTGATGACCACTCTCTTCCTTGGGCAAGTTTTCCTAAGTTTACCACGTGTGATTTTCCATGATTATTGTTTTTATTATGCTTCCTTGGAATTGTCAGTATTACAGAAATTTCACAGAGAAATATTTTGGAGGGCTTGCTTTTCCCGTTCATTAATATGTATATCAAAGAAAAAATACTTTTTCATTAGTTCCATGGATGATGAAGTTAAAGATTTTTCAAGTTTATTTGACAAGAAGTATATCTTGTCATGAATAATAGCAGAATGTATTCTCTAAACATAGGAAGGGAATCAGTGATCTGTCAATTTTGGTAAACTCCTAAGTAAAAGAGATAAGTATGGAGTAAATCAGTTGAGTTTTAATTCATACATAAGTCTTACTGTATTCTTCCACATCTCAGTTTTCTTTGATTATTTTCTCAAGATTTGGACCTTGTTTTTTATATTTTATTAGGCTTATTGGTGCAATTTGGATACATATGATGATCACATTCATCATAGGTATTCTGTACCACTACATTACATACCTTGATTTGCCTTTTTCCCTCATTCCCCTCCTCTTCTTTTAACTACTGTCTCCCCCTGCACAAAGCATTGTTTCCATTTTATCCTTCTTTTATTATTTTTTTCTTTGTTTCTTTCCCCCTAAGTTCCCCTTTCCTTTTAAACAATTTCCCCCATTTCATCATAACTCTTGTACAACTTTTCTCTTGTTACTTTCACTTTCATTTTTCTCATACTTGTGAGACAATGTGATACAAACATCTGTGCCCTTTTTTTCACTTAAGACTGTAGTCTCAGTATCTATCCTTTCAGCAATAAATGTTTCAAGTAAATGATTTATCAGAGAGTGGTACACCATTTTACATATGTTTATATACACACATTTTTTAATCTGTTCTTCCTTTGATAGGCATTTGTGTTGTTTTCAAGATTTAACTGTTAGAAACTGTGCCTCTATAAAGATAGCTGGGCATTAATTGCTGTGGTATGGATGCTTTTCTTTTGGGAAAATACAGGAAGGAGAATAGCTGGGTCAGATAAGACCTGTAGTCCTAATTTTGAGGAAGTTCCATACTGTTTTCCACAGTGGTTGCACCAGTCTACATTCTGACAGTGGGGAAGGGTTTTTTCTCACAGCCATGGCAGTATATCTTGTTGATTGATTTTATAGTCATAGCCATTCTTTCTCATATGAGATGGAATCTCAGCATTGTTTTATTTGCATCTTGCAAGTGAACAGTGTTTTATGTTTAGTGCTTTTCTTGAGTCAGCTATATTGTATATTATACTTTAGATCTGTCTTCATTTGTCTTTATTGTGTATACAAAATCTTTGTATTGTGTACAGCAGATTTTTTATTCTCATTGTTTTTGTAGACTTCAACTTGCCTTTTTTTTTCCTACCTGGCTTTTGTTATATAGTTGAAGCTGGTCTTGAGCCACTATGTACAGCAGGCTGACCTGAAACTCACAGCAATCCTCTTGACTCAGCCTTCCAAGCGCTGGAATTTAAAGTATGAGCCACCATGTCTGATTTTGTACCTCCTTTAATGCTGATGGCTCCTTGATTTTTTTTCTGAGGAAATTCCTTTTTATAACTAAGAATTATTCTGTTACAAAGTCCAAAGGAATTCAGGTGTATTGTTCCCTTTAAGTATGTAATTTGTGTGCATAGAACAAAAGGGAGTACAGTTGAGGTTTCCAGGTACATACCTGCTTCTACCTGAACATGATTGAACCATATGGTAAGTTCAAGAGATGTGTAAACCAGCTGCATCTTGAGTCAGTAATTCTATTTACCTATGGATCCATAGAGGGCTTTATTCCTTCCCTGAGATCCATTTGTTATTCTTTCTACTAAATTTACATTGTAATGAAGGTAGAATATGAATGTCTTTCATGTATATTGTGCAAGCTATCACCTTGTGCTCAGCAGGTGTTGAGTGTTGTCCGTATTCCTTTTTGAGGTGGGTTTAACATTAGGATCTCCCCATAATCTTGACTGGTCTTGCAGTTACTATATAGCTGGAGCTGGACTTTGAATCCATGACAGTTCTCAAACAACGTCTTTGTACCAAGTGTCCTAAGTGCTGGGATTAAAGCTATGTACTTCCACACCTGGCTGAGGTTTTCCATTTGTAATTCGTGTCTAATTATCTTTTGATTTCTTTACTTTTGATTCAGTGTATTCATTCCTGTTGCTCCCTCATTAATCTCTCTTAGCTGCTCCTGACTGCAAGTTGATTTGGTGTCACTGAAGTACAAGATAATATGTCTCTCTTGCACTCTTTTCATGTCCCACAGTCTTGCTCTGATAATACTGTTTTTCCATGTGTTTTCATTATTATTCATAAACTTTATTTAATATTCCATTCAGTTTTTTCTTTCCAACCATATCAAATTTCTTAATGCAGCCTAAGACCATTAAAAAAAATGACTTGATTGTATGAAGAATTGGATTTGAAAACAGTTGTCATCTGTTGCTCAACTCTAACTCAGAACCCTTGATTAGATATTTACCTGCCATGGTTTTCTGGATGACAATTTGCAGGCACCCCTTATGAGCTCCACCACATAAAGTAAACAAATAAAATTTCAGTGACTCTACCAGGCAACCAGTGCTACTGTTCTGCTATTGCTGGAGCTGTGAGTTGGAATCTAGCATCAGAATTGCTGTGTGGAATTAGGTGACCGAGGCATGGAGTTAATATTTGAAAGAATCAGCTTCAATTCAGCTTTTATGAGAACAGATTAAATATCTTAGGGTATAAGTCTCAACCTTCTTTCAGGAATTATATGTGTGATTCTTTAGGAGGCAGTAACCTTGGAGGATGTAACAGTGAACTTCACCAAGGAGGAGTGGGCTGTGCTGAATCCAACCCAAAAGAAGCTCTGCAGAGATGTGATGTGGGAAACGTTTATGAATATGACTGCTATAGGTAAGGATGATACTTTCTCATTAACACAATGAGAGAGCTTTGATTCTTGCTGATTGGAACAGATTCAGTAACTAGAATGTGAAAACATTTTGAAGAATTTATATTATACCATAAATCTAACTGTGATCTGCTAATAATTATATAATGATATAGTGACTTTTTATATTTTTATGGTTACATTTCAGGAAGGACCTTGGAGAACCAACAAATAGAAGAATACAAAAGTTGCTCAAGAAATCTAAGGTAATATGCATTTATATGTAAAACTAATATTCCCTTACAGTCAGTGTATAAATAGAAATATTACAAAGAAACTTTAAAAAGGAAACCATGGTCAAATTTATTTAATCTTACAAACATTGTCCAGATGTGCATACAGTTCAGTTTTCTATAATCTGACACTTAAATGCAGGAAGATTAAGGAAGCTTAAGTTAGTGATGATATTATGCAACAAGAACCACTGTCTCATAGATCACTATAAAAAGTTCTTTCATGACCAGCATCATAGAAATGTGTAATATTCGATTTGTATATTGTATATAGGCATATAAGAATAAATTTTCTTTGAGAGAAAGTCATCTTTTTTTTTTTTTTTTTCGTTTTTATCGGTACCAGGGATCGAACTCACGACTGCCTGCTTGCAAGGCAGGCGCTTATGCCGCTGAGCTAAATCCCCAGCCCCGAGAGAAAGTCATCTTGACAATATCTGTTCATATACATATATTAATGAGACATACATCATCTAAAAAATTGCTAACCTGGGAGCATTACTCAAGCTGCAAATAATTCCTATTGTTGTAATAATAGAGGTTTTAAAACACCTTTAAAGAATTTGTTAGAACACACGCTCATACACTGTTGGTAAGAACGTAAAATAGAACCATTTTGATAATCTACAGATATTTAAATAGTAAAATTAGAAATTTGCAGTTGATTCAAGTAAACTTCCCTAAATATATTTTGAAAGCATTTAAAATCATCCTGTCTTAGCAACACATGTGTACTCATGTTCAGAGCAGCATATACCTGGGTATTCACAGTGTCTTGATTTCTGGAAATCATGAGACCTAATCTCTTGTAGCATCCTAGATGCTCACAGTTACACACATGGATAAGAAGCATGGGGTGGACTCCGCATCGTGGTATCTTTTGATAATCCCATTGCTCTCTTAAGCTGAGCTAGCAGGAAGACAATGTGAAGTGTTCACCCTGACTAAATGAATGATCAGTGAGAATTGCTCTCAGAATAAAGAAACAAAAAAGAATAATGCATGGTTAAAACCATTGTTTAATCCTCAACACTGAAAAATACGTTACGTATTCAGCCATAAAGAAGAATGATACGTCTTTTGGCAAGTAACAACTAAGCAGATAGACTCCATCTCATAAAGTTAAATGAAATAAATGAGACAAATAAAGGGAAGGATCATGATTTTGCCTTTCATATGAGATTCCAAAATGTAAGTTGGGGACTGAAATGAAAGAGAAGTGATAGAGATAGGAAGGCTGTTTTTGGAGGTGGAAAAGATATCCAGAGTAAGGAGAGAGAGGGACAGAGATACGGAGAAAGGTGCCTGAAATGATCCATGTGAGAGACACCTGTGTATTAATGACCTAAATGAAACTAGACCTTATGTATTACAGACATGTATACATTTAAAATTTCAAATGAGTAAAATTCCTAGGGAAGTGGGTGTTTTGGAGGAAGTCTCTGAGGAATTCAGCCCATACAGACTAAAACCTTTTTACCCATCATCAAGCTGGAACTTGTCCTGGTAAAGTACAGATATGGAGACCTTTTCATTGTGATTAACATTCTTGTTCTTTTGTTGTTGTTGTTAAGAAATGAAGAGGTGGTAAAATTTGATGATAATGAAGCTTGGAATCAACATAAAAATCTATTTCCTTGGACTTCAGATGAGAATGTGAAGATGCCACGAGCTGCTCTAAAGCCTGGTGAAAGTCTAGCTTGTAGAAAGCACCTAACTGGGCATTTATCACTAAATGTGCCCATTTTACCTGATACTGGACTGAAACCATGTGAGTATGTGGGCTCTGGTGATAAGCTGGATAATTGTTATGAACATGGAAAAACCTGCAGCAATGTCCAGTACTTTCCAAAGGACACAAGAACAAAGATTGTAGAGAAAAACTACCAATATGAGCGATGTGGCAACACCAACTGTGACCTTAGGGACATAACTCACCTTGGACAGGAGATCTTTGTATGTAAGAAAAGATTGAAAGGCTCCATCCCTCCCGGTGGTGTTAAAATCCATGAAAGAATTCATACTACAAAGAAACCCTATGTAAGTAAGCAAGGTGAAAAAGAATTTACTGATAAGTCAGTATTTTTCAGACATAAAGGAGAGAAAGCTTTTACATGTAAGCAGTGTGGGAAGTCATTCACTACACTTAGTTATCGTAAAATACATGAAAGAATTCACACTGGGGAAAAGCCATATGTGTGTGAGAAATGTGGAAAATCATTCACTAGAAAGATGTGTTATAAAATACATGAAAGAAGTCACACTGGGGAAAAACCCTATGCATGTAACCAGTGTGGGAAAGCATTTACTACTCCCAGTTACCGTAAAGTACATGAACGAATTCACACTGGGGAGAAACCCTATGTATGTAAGCAATGTGGAAGAGGATTTGCTGATAAGTCTGCATTTTGCAAACATAAACGATCTCACACAGGTGAGAAAGCCTATATATGTAAGCAATGTGGGAAAGCTTTTACTACATTGAGTTATTGTAAAATACATCAAAGATGTCACACTGGGGAAAAGCCCTATGTGTGTAACCAGTGTGGAAAAGCATTCACTACACTGAGTTATCGTAAAATACATGAACGAAGTCACACTGGGGAGAAACCCTATGTATGTAAGCAGTGTGGGAAAGGATTTGCCGATAAGTCTGTATTTCGCAGACATTCACGAACCCATACAGGCGAGAAAGCCTATAAATGTAAACAATGTGGGAAAGCTTTTACTGCATTGAGTTATTGTAAGATACATGAAAGAACTCACACTGGGCAGAAGCCATATGTGTGTGAGAAATGTGGAAAAGCATTCACCAGACAGATGTGTTACAAAATACATGAAAGAAGTCACACTGGAGAGAAACCCTATACATGCAGCCAGTGTGGGAAAGGATTCACTACACTGAGTTGCCGTAAAATACATGAAAGAAGGCACAGCGGGGAGAAACCCTATGCATGTAAACAGTGTGGGAAAACATTCACTACACTGAGTAATTGTAAAATACATGAAAGAAATCACACTGGGGAGAAACCATATGTATGTGAGAAATGTGGAAAAGCATTCAGTAGACAGATGTGCTATAAAATACATGAAAGAATTCACACTGGGGAAAAACCCTACACATGTAAACTGTGTGGAAAAGCATTCAGACAACAGAGTAATTTTAAAATGCATGAAAGAACTCATACTGGAGAAACCCCATACATTTAAGCAGTGTAAAAAAAAAATACATGAAAGAATTCACACTGGGAAAAATCCCTATGCATGTAAACAATCTGGGAAAGCATTCAGACAACAGAGAACCTGTCAGATATGTGAAAGATTTCACACTGGGAAGAAATGCTTTATGTGTAAGAAATGTGAGAATGATACACCACAAATGGTTATTGTCACCCTGTTGTGAAAGCACTGTGAGAAAGGGTTCACTACACAGCAATATGGTCAAAGTCATGAAAGGTGTCCCACATGTGAATAACCCTAGGCAGGTAAGCCCTAGACAATGATTTGGTAGTGAGTCCTCAGATACATAGGTCTCCTATACAGATTTGGAACCCTATGTATGTAAGTAATGTGGAAAAAGTGTACAATGAGCAGTTTTAATCAATTACATAAAAGAAATCACACTGTGGAGAAACCCTACATACTTAACCTTATTTTGAAAATCCTATAAAAATGCCTCATGTACTAGACACCTGTATAAATTTAATGAAAATTTCAATGTCAATATTTCTTCATAAAATTTCCTGAAAATACCTTCCCAGATGAAGGTATCTTCGAGTGTAAAATCACTTGTAAATACCTGACTTATGTATCTATAGTCTTTACTATACAAAATACTGACATATTTTTGTGTAAGCAGTTGTCTTTAAAATTAATAAATACAGTGTTCTACTTCAACAAGGTGAATCAAAATGCATTTCTCACAGGTATGGTTTATATATGTAGTTTTAGTCTGTTTTTCTTGTTAATAGGTGTAGAGTACTAAAATCACATTTCTCACTTTTTAATTGAGATTTCTCACTAGCTTTGATTTTAATTTTCTTGATGTGAATACACCGTATTACATGTAAATAGAAGTTTTTAATTGGATGTTATATATGTATACATAGAGATGTGTGTGAACATGTAAATTTGAAAATTTCATTTGTTTTCACAACTTCTAGCTTAGCAAATGTTTTATTTTTCATATTCAGACAAGATTCCTATATAAAAGCAATTATATCAAATGCTTAAATTAATCACTTTTGCTTTCATAGTGGGCTCAATATTACAAATTATATAAAATTTCCTTAGTATCAGTGTGTTACTTTTCATGTTTATATTGATATGACTTATAATTTTGTATTAATTTCACTACTACTGATACCAAAAAATAACCATACTGCTGTGTCTAATTGTGATACATAAGAAGAAAGATGGCTATGAATTAGAGTCATTTGTAAGTCAGCACATAATATAGAAACAGGTTTAATGTAAGGATATACAGGATTTCCTTTCAGTGGCTGCCACAGAATCAGATGTGGAAGAGTGTTAAAGGCTTGTCCCTTCACTGGATATTAAAATAGGCCAATTGAAGGCCTTGAGTCCACTGTACTGACCCTTGCAAATCTAACAGGAGACCAAGGGGTCTGTGGAAGAAGACTGAATTGTCTGAGCTGAAGGCAGAAGAATTGGCTGAAAGCCAGAAGACAGTTTCCAAGGTTTTGAATTCTGAAACTCTTCCCTAGAATTAGAACAAAGCCTTCCTATTTCCTTTTTTATAATAAGCTGGCAACAATTCCACTTTGAGTAGGTCTTTCCACACTCAGAATTTTGCTGGGAAAATTTAGTTTGGTATGTAGTACTCAAATTGGCACCATCAGTTAACTATCACAACCAGACACATTTCTTTAAACCACAGTCACCAGATACAAGTAAGAACTCATGAACATACTTAACGTGGTATAACTGTGCTACATAGAAATGCAAATGTGTTAATTCCCTTCCCACAATAGAAGGGAAGTCTTTTGTGCTTATCCCTATCATTTTACAATTGGAGCACTATAACATAGGTGAAACCCAGCTCTGAATGCTTTCTGAGTAATATCAGGTTTTGAAGAATGAAGTTTAAATTCAGGATTATTGCATATTGAAGAAGAAGATGGTTGATTATGGCATGCATAAGTGTCCTATCTATAATGGAGCATTTAAATGATTTTTCTTCCCCAAATATCTAGGATCATCCCTGCCAGTGAAACACACACGACACACTATTTCGTCCACATTGTCTCCTACCTGGACAAATTATGTCATAGATTCACAGGCTGTCTTAGGACAGAAGGCATCCTGGACTTCACGTGACAACAACAAAGTGACAGTATAAGAAGGTTGTAGAGGACAGCAGCAAAATGACCATATAAGAAGGTCCTAGTGGTCATGGGGACCACATTCTAGGGTAGGGGACAAAGAAAATTGCAGGAGCTGTGCTGGAATCAGCACTGACTATGCAAGGACCAGAGCCAGTGAAGACAAGGAGAACTGGCCTGGGGCTCTGGAACGTAAAGGGTTGTGTAGGAGAGTATTATCTCATGAGGGGAATCTCACTTTGATAGCCTTCAAACATTTTGTTTAGAACATGTGCTCTTTTATCAGAGTTTAAAAAATTTTATTTATGGGAATTCATCTCATGAGACACAGAAAGTATAATGCAAATTGATTCTCTTTCCTGATCCGGCCTGCAGATCAATCCATGGAGAACTCCTGAAGGGGGAACGGGGATTAAATAAAAGACATGGGGGAGACAAATAGAGATGAAAGCAAGTTGAAATAATCCGATCAAGCCTCCGTTTATTCAGGAAATGATCACACCTTTTATAGGCCAATGGCAGGAGGTGGGACAGGAAGAGGTTAAGGGGTGAATACAACAGGGTCACCATCACATCCAGATATGTGATGTAAGCAGGAGAGGATTATGGTTAATGTAGGCAGACGCAGTGCCCATAGGAGAGAGAGGCAGGGAGGCAGCAATGGGCTGTCACTTGGCTCCCTACACTTCCCCTTCATATAAAAGAATCCTCATATGAGAATTATCTCTCAAGTTCTAGGTTCAATTTTCCCACTTGGACTGAGAACTCCTGGTCCTCTGCTGAGAGTGAACTAGAGAATATTTAGAATGCTCTAGAGAATGCTTTAGTAAATGAGGATTCTGGGAATATTCCTGTGCCTGGTGATAGCTTCCTGAGGGGAGTATGAATATCAATAAGAACTGATGGACCCAGAGGGAGGAGTGAAAACAGATTACTAATACAAAATAAAGACATTTGTTCACAAGTATAATGCCCAGGTGCTGCGATAGTATTATGACCCTGACTTCACAAAGCCATTAGAGATGCTGTCTCTCTGTCTTGGTTACTTTTCATTCATTGTATGGATAAAATACCTGATACCCCAAATTAAGAAAAGAAAGTTTAAGTTATCTCAGTTTGTGGAGGTTTCAGTCCATACTTGGCTTCAAGGCAGAGTGGAACATAGCAGAAGGCAACAGTTCATTGTGGAAGACAGCAAGAGAAAAAAGTGAATAGCATAGAGGAAGACTTTTTCTGTCCCTTATAATGAGTGTATGCAGGCCACATCCATGATAGCGTGACTGTAGCACTCACACCCATCATCCCAGCTTTGGAACATGAATTAATCACAAATTCCAGAAATCTGCCCCTATGACTGGATGAGGCTTTGGAGAGACATCCAGACTTAAACCAAAGCATTCTGCCCCAGGTCCTCAAAGACTCATGTGCACACTTTATATAAAATGCATTTAGTTTTTCTCTAATATGTGTTGTCAAAAACCTCACAGCCTCAGCATTGCTGAAATGTTCAAATCCCAAGTATCCTCCAAGATAACAGAAAAACTCTTACCTATGAGCCCCTGTACAAATGAAAAGCTAAGCACTTCCAACATTCAGTGGTATAAAACAAATTACCATTCCAAAAGGTGCAAAAGGGGATACAAGGAATTGGGACAAAAGCAAGTCCAAAATTCAGCATGGCAAACACTAAGTCCTATACTTGTATGTGGAATATCCACAGAAATCTGTGGCAAATTGTGAGCTGCAAAAGGCTTGCATGGCTCCTCCTCTGTGGCACTTCTGGTGGTTGTAGCTCCTGCAGCTTCTCTGATAGGCCTGCTTTGCTCATTCCTTGCAGCTTTCCTTAGATGATTCATTTTCCTAGCTTTTCCAAACTTCTTTCATCTCCATTGCAGCTTTGGCTTCACCCTCACAGCCTCCCACAATGCCCTCTCAGAGGCACACTGCCTGTGTTCCCAGGCCATCTTCTGAAATCTGGGTGGAAACTTTTTTAACCTCAGAGTTCTTGCATTCTTCATACACCTAAAGGCAGCACCACATGGTTGATGCCAAGGTCTGCTGTTGGGTGGAGCAGCAGTCAGGCTTTCCTCTTTCTTGGTTGTCAGGGTTGATTGCCTGCATTACTGAGCACTCTGAATATGATTGTCAGGAATTAATTTTCACTGCTCCTGCCATTTTGGAACCTGGTGTGGCCACCACCATTTTGTAAATGGGGGGGGGGCTGCCAATGCCATTTTGGAATGTGGTGCCCTGCAGTTTTCTTCTCAAAGCAAAGTCACTTTTACAGTTATGGGGCTGCAAAGGGTAGAGATTTGCTGTTTCCTCTGATGGTCTCAGGCTATCTTTCTTATTCTGTTCCTTTTCAACAATGGAGATCACCTCAGCTCTATATTTGTAGTTCACAGCCTTGCCAAAGCCTTCTTTCTGGCCAAACTCATATTTTGAATCATCCTGCTGGCTGTTTGCTCTTGATTTGCAACATAAATCTGTCTAAAAGCCCCCAACAATAGCTTTGCCACCACCTCACCATTTGATTTCCTTGAAATTATTCTACCAGATCAATTAGTCCACCACCCTTAACTTTAGTGTCAGGTAAAATTTCTGGACACAGTTAAAATGCAGGTGAACTTTTTGCCAAGTCGTAGTATACATTGTCTGGCATCCCAGCAAGCAATGAAATCTTTCCAAGCAGATTCCTCCAAAGCTTGGTTTTTACTGGCAGGGTTTCTATAATCCTGGTTTTCTGGGCTTTGACCAGAATTCCTCATACGGAACAGCATAAGGTGTTCCAGCTCTCCTCTTTCAGGTGACATCTCTGAGCCTTAACAAATTCTTCCCATAAGCCATTTCCAAAGGCTATTGAGCCACCTGGTCAGGTATAACCACAGCAACAACCCCACTTCTCTTATACCAAATTTTGTGATGGTTACTTTTTCTCATTGCTGGTATAAAATACTTGATGCCAAAATTGAAGAAATGAATGGGTATTTAGCATACAGTTTTTGAAAGTTTCAACTTTTTCCAAGGTAGGGTGGCATGGCTCAGGGGCAACTGTTTATGGCAGCTGCAGTAAATACCAAAGTGGCAATAGTAAAGGACAAAAAGCAAATAGCATGCCTCTTTTCCTCCCTTATATGTTGTACCCCCAAAGTAAAAAAAAAAAAAAAAAAAAAAAAAAAAAAAAAAAAAAAAAAACAGAGCAAGACATCTTTTTCTTTTAAAAAGAACAAGTGCTTTTATTTAAGCTGACACCAGTGACATAGTGCAGATGGAGTTTGCAAAGCTGTGTAACTGGGTTAGAAATTTGACAGATTTTTATAGCCCATTAACCATAGCTCAAAAATCGCAAAGTACATAGTGATGAAGAACAAGAATGCAAAAGGCCTTTGTTCCCCTTTGCTTGAGTTAGAGACATTTCACAGTTGGTGGTTACCCCTTCCTTTCCTTAATTCCCGCCCTTGGTCTGCTAATTTCAGGAACATTTGTTTCTCATAAAGGGAACAAAGGTTGACACAACATCATTTGTCTCTCACAAAGAGAACAAAGGTGGGCACAACAAACAGGGTGATGATGCATACAGAACAGTATGACGATGCTTCAGTTAATTTATAACCATGTGGTTGGTGCTTCAGTTACATGGTTACTAGGGTGATAGGCATAGTACAGAATGACAAAGCTGTTTTTGCTAATAACAATCCTTTTAACTTTGCATTTTAGTTTTTTAGCATTGTAGTACAACAGGCTGTATGCAGGCTGTCTACTCCAGGGCAGGTGAAGTACCCACATGACAAATCCTGGCACCAGACAATGAACCAATCACAAATGCTAGATTAAGTCATCTTTCCAAGATCCACCCCCCATGAGTGCATGATACTTGCAGAGCATTCAGACAT